GGGCATTGCCCAGGACGCTGCCCCTGCCCCGGACGCCGGCCCGGATAGCGCTGCTGCCCCTGGGCTCGGCGGAGCCCCAGCGGTGGCTCCTTCGCTCGGGGCCGTTCCGGTGCGCTGCTTTCGCTGCTTTCGCTGCTTTCGGGGCTTGGCTGCCGCACGCACTTAGCCGAGGGAACTTTCCCTCCGACAGCACCGACCCCCGATCGCCTCCTGAAATGGGGATGGAAAATCCTCTCCGCAGCTAAACGCTGGCTCTCGTGGTTGCCAAAGGCTACGCGTCACGTATGCTGACTTTAACAATGATTATGGCTGCATTAAAGGAAGCCACTGCCATTACTCCCAAGAGCCCAGGCTTAATTTAGCGCAGCAAACGCATCATTAAAAATTGCCATACAAAATTGCAACTACAAACCAGGACTGGCTGCAAATAACGCTTTAGTGTTCATGATGTTTGTGTCTTCCCCGCTGACAGCCAGCCAGCCGTGGTGAGAAATGTGAAATGCTGAGGGAGGTTAGAAAGCTTTTAAAAGAAATCTGGAGTTCATTGCACGCTTTCTGTTTACAGCCAGAAGAGGAAAATTTGGCAACTCCTACGTGTAGCAATATTCAGGGCTTAAAAAGACTGAGGAAGAGGATGTAACCCAGCCGTTTGTAGGGCGGTCCCTGCTTTGAATACACCCATTTCAGAAACTTTTAAGGACAGGAATAGAGGAGTGGTAACTTTATTTAGGTCAAGTTCTGGGAACAGGATGAAGGCCTTTCAATGAGTCAAAAGAAATCCTGCCTTAAAAGATGGCTGTTTGTTTCCTTTATTCAGGGGTGGCGACACTGAAGTGTGTGTGCTGCCAAATTTATTTTTAAGTGTGCTTTAGCCAGTTTTCACTGACACTCATTGAACTTGTGTAAGTGATATTCCACTTTTCCAGACACAACCAAAGCGAATGGAATTCTTGCTGTCCTCCATTTCTGCTGGCTTCACTGTAGCACTGCTGCCTTTTCGGAACAGTGCAGTACATTTTAATCTGTTTTTGGTAGTTGAGCTACCCATACCCTATCTCATAATTGTCTTTCAGATGTCTCTCTTTTCCATACACCTTCATTTTAGCAGCATGGACAAGACAGAATGTAACAACTTTGTGGTTTTATCCTAAAGCTGAAGCATGACAGGAAATCCTAAAATCAACCCAGCATATTGTGTCTCCATAAAACCATATGCTTCTGTTCATTCCAGTCACAGTCTCAGCTAAGAAACTGCAGGATCCAATAGTACATCTGACTGACAGTTCAGTTCCTGGCTGTTGTCTAAGCCCCAGTGTAAAGAGAGACCAGCAACATCCTTCTTTGGAAAAATCTGAACTGCTTTAGGCCTGTAAATATTGAGTCTTCATCTTAGACCTGTAAGCCTTGTGGAACAATAAAAGATTGTTCTGTAGACGCTGATGTGTCAAGCAGTATCTTTAAAAATAATTCAGTCCATTTCTTCTCCAGGATCTGCCTTAGTCCATTTTGTGCCACTCAATATTGTGTGTTAGATTAAGGTTAAAGATGACAGAAAGTGGCCAGCTTGATTTCCTGCGTTTTCCTCAAAAGCCCTAGTGCAGATTAAGGTTACATTGAGAGATCAACAGGAAGGACTGAAAAACTGGATCTACTGATGGATCCTGCAAGACTGAGGTAAAAGTTAAAAATATAAATTGGTTTGGGATGTCCCATGGCTGGGGATAGTGGGAACAAAAGAGTAGTTTATATTAGTGAAATTGCAGGCTGAGTGGGGGCTGTAGACAGGATAAGATCTACCATTAGATCTGAGACTGAGGAGCTGTAAGGTTTGTTTTAAAGGTCAAGAAGCAAAGGCAAATGTATGGGTTTTCCTCCCCCTGTTAGATTTGCATGGTCTATGATTCATCATCTTCTAAACTGGAATTTCAGCTGGACTAAAGGAAGGGGAAGTGGGGAGTAGTTCCATTTACTGTTAGTATTTGGGACTGAAGGAGTTCATGAGGTACTTCTACAGCTGAGCCATTGCCATAACCCTAAATTTAGTTTTAACTGTCACCCTAATCCTCTTAAGGAATTAACAATAGTTTCCTTTGCCAAAATGACCTATTATTCTAGTATTGCCTGGCCAGTGCTCTTCACCTACAGTCCTCAACAGTATTCTGAAACCTAAAAGCTTTCCCTTTAATCCAGTCATCTTTTACAAATCAAACCCACAAATCAAACATAACTTTCCTTTCTGGGTATTTTGTCCCCACTATAGTAAGTCCTCATTCCAACTTGGCAAGCGTTACAGTTCCCATCACAAAGCTTTGGCACAAAGGGGCAAAACCCTAATAATCAAGCTGCTTTTAACTATCACAAAAAATAGTTTCAGTTGTTGATTCCTGTGGAAACAAACTACCATCTTAGCAGTTTGTCTGTATTGTAATAATAAACACTGTGCATTTGTGCCCCTCACAGCTGTTTAGGATCTCTCAGTATCCTTAACTTAGAGCA